ATTACACCGCTACATATTTATATTAGACAGGAAGCGGCCAAGACAGCGTTGAGACTAAAAAATCATAAACTGGTAAGGTTCGATACCGCTAAACATCTCAATGGCTTACTGAAGGAATGGCTTAACACCCCGCTTGTAGAGGCGGTTTGCGACAGAATCGAATCCACCTTCATCTTTGACAAGAAATACAAGATACATCTTACGGACAGTGACGATCCAAAGTTAACACACAGGGCCCTCACTGTTTTCACGGACGGCTCCAAAACCTTAACAGGCACAGGGGCTGGTGTATTCTCTGAGGACCTTAACATACATCTGTTCCTGCCCCTCGGCCCATACAATACAGTCTTCCAGGCTGAATGTATGGCGATCACCCTGGTGGCGAGAGCGATAACTACAAGGAAGGTAACAGGATCAGAAATCCGGATCTTCTCGGACAGTAAATCACTCCTACAGGCTATCAAAGGAAGTTCTGTCCGATCGAGTCTTCTACAGGAGTGTCACCAGGTTCTAAACATGGTAGGGACACACAATATAATTACTATCCAATGGATAAAAGGACACAGTGGATCACGTGGAAATGATGCAGCTGACGAACTGGCACGCAGAGGATCAGATGCAACACCAATGGGCCCGGAACCGATCATTCCTATTCCGGTAAGCTGGTTAATTGGTAGGATACGTGAACACTCGAGTAAACTACATCAACAATACTGGCACACTTTGGAAACCTGCAGGCAGGCCAAACTTGCACTACCCCGAGTGAACGCTCGCCTCTCCAAAGCCCTCCTACAGCTAAGTAAACCATATTTGCGCCTGGTAACGGGTGCTATTACTGGTCATGGCAACTTTAACAGGCACCTTTTCAATCTAGGTGTCACTGACAGCCCCTTGTGCAGAGGATGCATGGAGGCGGAAGAAACAGCCACTCACGTCTTGCTGGAATGCAACGGAGTGGCCAACTACCGGGCAAAGTACCTCGGCTCGCCGGGCAACCTCCAAGAGGCCATCGCAGATGTGAAGGCGCTCGGGGCGTTCCTGGCAGAGCTGGGCTGGCTGGAGTAGTATCCAGCCACACACCCTCCACACGCAAAATAGGCGCAATTTGGTCGTCGAGTTGCGGAGACGCCCGTTGTAAGAAGAAGAAGAAGAAGAAGAAGATGCTACCGGTGAAAAACTTTATGAACAACTCGTGAAGTTATTCAACGATAATGGCATTCCCTACAAAAATAATATGGTTGGTTTTGCCGCAAACGGAGCAAATGCAATGATGGGTCAGCACAATTCGGTGGCAAGTAGATTACTAATAGATATACCCAATCTCTATGTTTTGAAATGCATTTGCCATTCGTTTGCGTTATGTGCGTCGTATGCCTGCACAAAGCTCCCGCGTGAACCTGAAGGCCTGGTGAGAGATGTTTTAACTATATCAGTACGAGTCCAAAACGCACGGGTGTTATGAAACAATTTCAAGAGTTTCTTTCGTTAAAGCCACACAAAATGTTGCACCCGTGCCAAACTAGATGGCTCTCATTGCGTGCTGCTGTAATGCGTGTTTTAGAGCAATACGAAGCATTAAAATTATATTTTACTGAGGCAGCTTTCAGTGATCGATTGAATTCAGCGGAATCAATTTTACAAATGCTCAATAATCCATACAACAAAATATATTTGCAAATTCTGGAATTTGCATTGGATTTTTTTACCAAACTGAATAAAATAATACAGTCAGAAAAGCCACAAATACACAAGTTACATGAAAACTTGAGCAATACTTATAAAACCTTTTTGGACTGCTACAAGGACAGTGCATATCTGATGAGAACTGAACTCCAGAACGTACAACATGACAACCCTCGACGCTATAAACCAATCGAAGAAATTTATTTGGGTGTTAATGTTGCCTCATCTTTATCTTCTTCCAATTTGAGTCCTAATGACATAAAACTTTTCAAATTACGATGTCTTGAATTCTATATAGAAGGAGCCAAGCAAATAAAGACACGTTTCGATTTCGGAAGTCCGATTACAAGAAGCCTGGAATTCCTTAATCCGACTATCATTAAACGTCGCAGTATACATACAATCATTGAGTCACATTGCACGTAGTTTTCCTAATGTTATTCAACAAGAACATTTACAAAAATTAGATAACGAGTGGCGACATTTGAAAATGAACGATACTATACTTGCTACTAAGGAAGAAGATCCGGAAGTTTTTTGGCAAGAAGTATTTCGCGCACAAGACTGTGATGGAAAATTACATTATACGACTCTCAAAGAGATAGTTTCAGCCTTATTATGCCTACCCCACTCCAGTGCAACAGTAGAAAGAATATTTTCTTCAATTAATTTGATAAAAACGAAAACTCGCAACCATTAGAGTAATCCTTCCATAGTGTCTGTTAGGTACAGACACTATGGAAGGATTACTCTTGACCAAACAATTATTAAAAAACGAGCCATGTTTCAAGCTAAATGTTAGTAAAAATATGATTAGTAAAATGAATAAAAGTATGTATCAACAATAAGTATGTTTTTCACTTGTCTACTACTTTATAAAAAGTTTAATTAATACAGATTTTAGCTTTTTCGTCGTATACAGATATAATACAGATTTTCAGACTTAGCGATTCAGATTTCGAGCTTTAAGATATGGCAACACTGTGTAAATTTCTTTAGTTTAGAAAAACATCCACACGATCTACAGCAAAGAGTAGTATTATATTGGTCTACAGGCCTTTTAGCTAACTCTACTGACAACCTAATATCGTAATCATCGAAAAAAGTAAACAACTCCAAGATGTCGAAATCACTTATAGGAGAATGGAAGATTAATAAAATTAATCATCATGACCGCTTATTTCCTAAAAAAATATCATTTTATTTAAATAACTTGACGTTATTTTTGAGTCAAACAAAAGGGATTTTTAGTGAAAAAAATAATCATAGTCTGCAGTACTTATACTTAAACTCACAAATAAATTAAACAGTAAACTCTTAAGGAAAACGCGCTTTTCCTATACTCCGTTACATTTGAAGTGGCACAAGATGTAAACAAACAAATATGGCGACATGACAGTTTTAGTGATAGAACATATTATTATGAATTTGACAATTGAACTATCTCATTCATGTCATTCAGTGACTGACTTTTTCCACAAAATTTGTCTTAAATTAATATAACTATTGTTAGAGTAGTATAATAAATATATAAATATTATATAATAAATATATAAAAAATGCGTATATTATCATGACAACTGAACGAGTTTACTTAATTAAATACTACATATTAATTTAAGGCGAGAGTTTCGAGAGTTTATGTTATAAAATTAAGTTTATTGCATTTTACTTCGTCGTTTGATCTCAGTTTCCATTTTTCCATTTCAGTTAACAGAAAATTTACAGTTTAAATTTGCCACAAATTTTAAACAATAAAGTACTATAGAGCGATTGAATCTTTTTATATGTTGATTAAAAATATTACTCCTTAATGCATGAAATTTATTTACATTGAAATTGACATTCTAGTCGCTCTGTCTGACTTTAAAATATAACAAAATGATGTTTTTCTAATCGTTGATCATTTTTATATACACAAATTTACTATTATGATAAACCATTAGGTTTCAGTGTGAAATATATTTTGACCAACTATTACTTTATGATATTTCAATTAAGCGTGATAGCCTATCTTAAAAATACACCTTACCCAAATATAGCACAAAATTATATGTTATAGTACAGTTGGTAACCCTTGTTCAGACTGAACGAACAAACGGACTGTGGCCTCTCGGGCTATTAGGGTGTATCGCGCAATATCCTGGTCCGCAGGCTGCGCACTTGCTGGATTGCTGCCCTGGGAATTAGAAGCAAAAGTTATGGAGGCAGTATATTATATCCGTGCCGAAGGTAGATCAAGGGAAGAACGCCTCTCGCCAGAACCAATCACTTGAATGAGGAGAAGGAGTAGAGGAGGAGCTGATGCCGGACTGGGAGAGGTCGATCACAGCCTTACAGTACGGAGTCAGCACTTAAGAGACAATCCGCCCAGTACTAAGAGAGTGGAGGGCTCGAAAGCACGGGTCGCTTATCTTCAGGCTGGTGCAGGTGCTTAGCTGAGACAGTTGTTTCAGTAATACCTGTATCAGACCAAGAGGGAAGTGACCCCGTCATGCCACGAATGTGGTGTTGCAGAGGACAATGCCCAGCATACCTTAGAAGTGCAGCATGTGGGCTCACTCTCTGGTTGCGTTTGTAGGAGGAGATCTGTCGTTGCCCATTAATGAGAGCCATGCTGGACAGCGAAAGGTCATGGTGGTTGATGGTCTGGTCAGAGAAGGAGGCCGTGGAGAGGCGTGAAGTAGCTGCCTTCGCGAACTCTATTCGATAGAGGAGGACGGGGAGAAGATGGCGGCACTATGCACGTCTCATACCCCCATAGAGAAAGGCCAATCCCCTGGCTCTGGGGTCCCTTGAAAGGAGGGGGCACTGGCGGTCGCTGGGAGGGGTGGAAGCGCTTGGCGCATTTATTCTTCCAGGGGGTCGCCGGGTCTCACCCACCGATTCCACCTCCCGCCACTTTCCCTTTTCTCTCATTGGAGAGAAGTACGGGAGAGTGGTGGCAATAGGTAAAGAGGGGACCTCAAGATCATCCCATCTGGCGGGATGACCCTTTGGACCGCGCGCGTGGCGTATTCGGATACGCGGTACTGCATATCATTTCGGTTCACTGATACGACTTCGGCGATACCAACAGAGGGACGAGATCCTTCCCCACCCGGCGCGGCCTAATGCGGGCATAGCTACATATCTGTTTCAGGGCGGTGTCGTTGAGAACGGATCCCGTGGCAGTGAGAGAAGAGACCTGTGACAAAGATCAGGCAGGAATCTGCAATGGATAATAATGGAAGAGGGATCGCGTATTGACGCATTCCTCTTCTATGTCGGAACCACCGGAGGTGGTCGGCAGCCATCCTTGCATTACACGGTTTCGCATGTCTGAGAGAGGCTCTCGATGTACCCGAGCCTCTCAATCCGCGAGGGGACCAATAGTCGAATATGGGGCTGAGTATCCTGGAGGCTCGGTCACGGCTTCCCTGGTCTCATTTCCCACGAGAGGGTACACCGTAGAGGTTTTGGTTGGTAAGCCACCGAAAACTCACTGGGCAGGTCATCTACCGAGTGGGTTCACGAGAAAGAGTCTCACACACTCCCTGTCGCTTGCCAGTTACAGGGATAGTGCCAAAAGCATTTCTTAGACGATAAAAAAAGGCCGGCCATCGATGTGCGCAACCCTTTTCACCTCCATTGTGTAAGTGAGTAATAATGTTAGTGCGCGTTTATGTATGTATCCGGGACCCTAACAGCCTAGCAAACAAGTTACGAAAAGCTAGGATATATTTACCACAATCAAGTCAATCGCATGCTATTCAAACTAACCAACCCATAGCTAACCCGAATTATACTAAAGACCTTTTCCTCTTTACGACTATTTTGCCTTTTTTATCAGATGGTATTGTTGAATTGAACAACGCTTTTTTTTTAACTAGGAATTTTTTTTTTAAACAAGCTTACAAATAAAAATCAAAATAAATAAATATACTTCCACCAACAATCTTACCAAATCATACCAAAAACGCTTGTGTGTTTTTTGTACTTACATTATATGCATCATAGAAAATATACAATATTCCATGTAGCAGTCGACCGGTTTAATAATTTGTAGATAATCTGTAACACACGGAACACAATGAATGTGTGGTTCCATAATATCCATAAATGACTACAATATTTTCACAACTTCACGGTGTTTGAATGTGAACAATAAGTAGTACCCATTAAGTATCTATAAAAGTCAATCGACGTATGATGTCGCGCTAAAAAATATGATTCATTTGAATCGTATATCTAAATACTTTTTAATACATTAGGGTATATTATGGTTATAGAGCCTTCTATTAACACAGTATAGATCCGACTTTCGCTCAGGAGGGTTAGAGTAATACACTTTGTTTAAATGTGTTTGTGAAATAATGACAAAAGTATATAAAATACATTTAAGTATTTTTTTAACTTTAATTGTAAGTACCGAGGATTTTTTTACGGTTAGGGATTCAATTGTGGATAAAAAAATGCCTATGAACTTAAGAAAAGTAAATTATATATTTTTCATTTTATTTACATATATTTATCTTCTACCTGTCTCATTCAGGCAGATCCCTAGTAGTTATTTGGTTGTTAAAAACAATCATTATTTAAGCCAACTAATAATTTATATTACTGTCGCTAGTTAAGGTTGTCGTAATCTTTTGAGACCGTTCAAATGTATGAAAATATAATTCAATCTTTATATACAGCCACACAACTCACTGAAAGATTTAGCTATAGTTTAAATGGTTATTTGATACTCAATTGAATTAACTTTGGCCTGCAGATCGAGGTAAATGCAACTTTCATTAATTTGAATGAGTTTCAGAAAAACATATTGCAATGGAAAAACCAGAATTTATTAAATTTGAGTGAGGTTAGTTACTCGATTGATTTATACATTATTTTTAGTTATATTAAGTGGAGTGTTGTTTTATTAGATTCATAAGTCGTAATTTTCTTTCAGGTAGGACTAGCTTCAAATGGTGTTTTCGATTTAAGTGATGTAAAAAATAAGTTATTACAATGGAAAACTCAAAAATTGGCAGCGCTCTGCCCTTCAAACGGGTATGATACATTTGAAATACTACTAAATCTTTGCAATTTAACGATATCAATAAAAATACTTTTTATTCATAGATACATATAATATGTAACATAGAAGATATGGGGCTACATATTTCATTTTCACATAATGTGGCAAATTTTACAGAATTCTGAAGAATACAATTAGTTCATATGTTTTGCGTTATTGAAACATGCATATTAATAGAATGGCTGGTCCACGAGTTCAAAGTCGCTAACAGCTATGGAACGTGCTATGCTATGCTATGCTCGGTGTTTCCATCCGACAGGGAACAAAAGTTAGCGACCAAAGTTAGCGACACCAAATTAGCAAGCTAAAGCGGACTGCTATTATGCTGATGATAACGATGATACGACTTTCGGTTTATGTAGACTTGCAGGACAATGGGGATCTAATTTTATAAAATGGAACTACTAAAATAAATGTAACTAGGTGGAATATTTTCTCATTTCTCTTCATCCATACAATCTGGGAATGAAGAAATATGCCTAAAAGAAACTACTAAAATAAATTGAACTAGTTAGTGTGCGATACAATGTCCGATATATTTTGCCCCCAACGATGACATCAAAATGGACTGACCAAAACCATTATCTTGTGTTACTTTTGTTAAAAAAAAATAAAACAACATTATATGTCGCAGCCAACTGCTTAAATCAGCCGTCAATTGGGCGGCTAGCCGTTTAAATAAACGGCGTTGACATTTGGACAATTAAACAAAACGGCTGACTTAAAAGCCGCTGAGTCTTTTATTTTCTTATACTTTGCCAACGTGGCGTTAGCTTCGATTTGTTTACAAACATTTATTCGAACAGCGCTGCTTTGTGAATGTTACTTTTGTTACATTTTATGTACGTTAATTTTGACCCTCTCGTGTTCATGAATCAAGGCTCATTTACTTTGACATTTACACCACAAACGATCTCATCAGAAGTCAATTATTCGATTAATAAAACTCACGATTCTTTTGAACCTTGATAACAATCGCTACGCTACGCTTCGTGATCGTCTTAAATTTTTAAGCTGTTACATACCCTCTAGGACATTGTCTGTTATTAAAAATTACGTCGAAAGCTTGCTCTATGCATACCCCTTTGCTTTTAATAATTAACGTTCTACAATACGTCTGGACTTTTGTTCGGTCGTATTGTAATTGTGTTCTAGCTAGTCGCCTGATCATATAATGAAATAGTACTCCTGCCTAATTGAAAGTCAGCTGTGTGCTAGCCGTCTAATTGGGTATCTGATTTAATCACTTGATTGCGAAATATGCAATGAGGGCCATATCTTTAATTAAGTTAAAAAGGACGGTATTTTCAGTGCGAAGTTGCAAAATTTACTTAATCTGGTATGTAGTACAGCGCAGCCCACCAATGTGACCTTAAGAGATGCTTGCATTACTTGTTTTAGTCAAGTGACCTCGTTACCAGAGGTAATTACTTATATTTTAAAGAGCTTATCAAATACGTTAGTGATAATATATTTCAGATAGATAAAATAACACCTGCATTGTTAACATCAAATCAGTACTAAAACAAAAATAATAAGGTACTCTGCGATTTTTATATGGGTTCGAATCCCATCTCAGGGTGTCAGGGATCGAGTGGATTTTTTAAGCATTTTGTATTAAGAATATTTTTCAGTACAGCATTGTGAATGCGAAATTGATCAGAGATGAATTTTTATTATAAATACGGAGGTGCAAACTAATACTTTTAACTTACAATAAAAGTCATATAACTGTTTTATGCTCTTAATATAATGTTGTATTATTTAATATTCATATTGTCTCATTTTATTTTAGGGTCCTCAAGAATTGAACGCTCTTAGCGTTTGTGCTACACAGTATTTTGTAAACACATCTTATGCAAACTGTGCAACCACCCTTGCAGTAAGTGTTTTTCAGAATACGTATTCTTAGGAATGGTATGAAATCAAAAGATTGATATTAAAAGCGATCAAATCCCAAATTCAACTTTTTAATCAAGCACTTATGCAAATTATCTCGACAAATCCAAATACAGCCTGATTCAAGGGTAAGGATATACTATGAATATGCAGTGGATCACCAGCCAATAGGGTATTCGGCAACATTAAAAATATATTAAATATTGTAATATAACACTTAATTTTTTTGGTTGCACATAAAATAAAATTTCATTTTTTTACATTTTGTTCGAAACGAAAATGCATAGTAAGTGGTTGCACCTCCAATGATGTCCCACGCTAGTAAACATAACTTCCAGACCTGCCTGCAGAGAGCGGCAGCTGCTATAGAATATCTGAGACACGTATAATCAATCAAATTTGTTTTGTACTTTTATACAAAAATTAATCAATAGAATTTCTTTAATAAATGACGATGTGTCCGAAACACCTGAGTGAATTCTAATTCAAGTTTTGTTTTTTACAGCATCGCAGAGCTGTTATAGATTTTAGTTTGCTGATGTTTTTTAGATTTCTTGTGTGTGACGTCATACGCGGCGTAATGGCGGGGGATAGATAATAATCTAATAAAGCTTATTTCTTAACATCTGCAGAAACAACATGTTTAGATTTAGTAAAATAACGTAAAGAAAATGCAATATTTTTAGGAGTTTATTAAACGACGAAATCGTCCTATAATTGGTCGTCGTCACAATCAATCACGATTCTGTTTACTGGCCTGTGACGTCATCAGCTGTCATGTCAAAGTAGTGTTAGAAAAATACATAAAATATCGATGCCTGTAGGTATCGAGTACTTTATAATAATTTACTGATACCAGAATACTTTGCCGCTTCTACTGATAAGAACTGTCAAAAAGAAATACAAAATGAAAGAATCATTTACTAAGCTTTAAAAAATCCAAGAAATAGGGAAAACGCCAGCAATTTAAAAAAAGAGCAACTTGTTTTTCTCATTTCTTGAACTTTAATATAATAATTCAATTACAAAGTCGTTTTTGATGATATATACTGTTCTCCAAGTTAAAAACTAATTTTAAAAAATCATCGGGATCTGTTATCTAATTATCAAACGCCATGCATTTAGTGGAGACATACTACAAGCATGTATAAAAAAATAGAACATTATTTTTCTACAGATACATTATTTAGGTCGACAGGCTGTAAAGTGCGAGCCCTGTTAACAAATATAAATGAGGCGTAAAATGTTTATAACAAAGAAAAAAACCAAAAGAAAACCTTCGAATGTATCGATATGAAATAAAAAACTTTTAGCGAATCCTTACCTAATGAGATTGTGAATCTATTTTCTTCTAGACTCGAAGTTTGTTTGTTATTTATAGAAGTATTAGTATCATCATATACATTGTGGCACTACGCACCACTTGTAGCTCATTTTTTAAAGAAAACCAGAGCAGAGGAAAATAAAAAACGTAAAAAATACGCACTACGACTTCAATTTCTCTTCTAAATTATTATTTCAATTTACTCTAAAGACAGTTGTTACTTATCGATTTGTCATATTTACTGGCCTGTGACGTCACGATCAGCGCCATTACATAGAGCAGCGATTTTCGCGCGCTTTTTAAATTTTAACAATTATTTTCACCAAAAATAGAAAAAAAATCCAATGAAATATTATGACAGTGTGTTTATAATGTAGCAAACAACGATTTAAAATAGTTTTGAGAAAAGTGTCAAATACCCTATTCCGTCTAGCTGGGTCCTATTATGTTGAGCATGTACGTTTCTGTGGTAAATAGCTACATAATGGAAGTTAGTAAAGAAAAAATATTAAGACCACATTAAACGGCATATTACTTATACAATCTAAATAGAGTCTTAGCGATTAATTAAAATACTTCTTTCAGGTTAAGATGATAAATCCGATTTCTATTTAATGTTTTGCAATAAACCTAAAAATCGTTATTTTATTATTACTGTAATCTTACAAGTTAAGCCTAGCGTTGACTAGGATCAATGTACCGAGTTGAAACGAATCCCAATAATTCGTTCCTATACTGGGAGGAACAAAATGACCGACACAGCCGAAAGTTTCAAGTTAGGTTACATGCAAACGTTCATTTTATTTGACAAATATTTAAAAATAGAGGAGGTGTAAAAATGGAGTAAAAATTTTAAATTTCTAAGTGGTAACAGCCCTATAACGCGCATGCGCAATATCGATTGTGTGCAGGTTACAACGAACTGCGAAATATATTAATTTAATTTAATTATTTACCGATATCTTAATGATAGTCGATGCTGAAAATGTCCACTTCCTCTCTAAAGACTGAGCTAAGCACGCTCTTTTCAATGCCGGTGCATGAACGCGCAAAACACATCACATTTCACACAAAACTAAACACAATTTTCACTAAACTAAACTTAACACTTAAGACGAACACTCTAGTATCTTATTAACAAAAATTCAATTAAAAATGCACTAGAACAAAACAAAAATCGACAAAAAAGACGCTTCGCAGCGGTGCGTCGGCGGCGATGCGCAACAACACTCCAGCGCAAAAGGTCGACGGCGACTGATCGGCCGGAAAATATCGACAGAATAATGAAGCCGCCTGGCGGCTGGCGGGCGAGTGGGGCTTTGATATCGAGGAACGAACTCGGTTCACATTTTTTTTTCGTCTTTTGATATCACGCATTTTTTAATGTTCATTTTAAATGCTATTTTAATAACAAATTCCTCAATGATTTTAAAACAAAGTTCATTTGTGTTAATGATGAATCTCTTGAAGATTTGTGAGTTTATCGAGTTTAATTAACGATCCCGTTGTTAAAGGAGTATTACCCCATTCAAACATTTTTTTTGGAGAATTGGTCTTTTAAAATAACGTAGGTTAATGTTAGACTGATCTCTCTACAATAATTTAGGAAATTTTACACTCGGTTTCATTTAAAGTTAAAGTTTTAAAGTTAAACGTCTCAAACTAACATCACTTAGTTTTCGTTTCCGATTTTAGTTTTTTGATGATCAGTTGATAGCAGTTTGATAAAACTAGGACTATTTGACTTGTGAAATTAAAAAAACTTAGGTTATTGAGAATAAGCAGTGGAAATTTTCTACTTTTTTCAAATCAGAAACCGGCTATTAGTCTGTAAATCGATTTAAGCATTTTGACTGCCTTGTTTATTGATTGTCTGGTAGAATAGAATAGAATAGAATAGAATAATTCTTTATTGTACAAAAACACCAATAAATAAAATAGGTAACAATAATATAGGACAAATAGTACAATCGGCGGCCTTATCGCTAAGAAGCAATTTCTTCCAGGCAACCGTTACTTTGGAAAATTTTAATTTAAATCAATAATTAGGTAGTCTATGGTGTCTTAAATGTACATGATATAAACATACATAGATAATTATCAAACATACTATAACAATAAATATATATAGGTATATAGTGTAAAAGGTCATAATGACAGATAGTGCTCCTTTACTAGATTTTTGAATCTATCTACCGTTTGCGCACGTCTTATATTTTCGGGCAATGCATTCCAGAGACGTGCAGCCTGAACTATAAAAGATTTGTTAAGAAATTTCGTGAAATGCATCGGTGTCTCCAATTTTAAGTTCTCTGATGATCTCAAAACTCGAGTGTGGGTATTATGAAGGAAATTAAAACGTTCCTTAAGATAAGATGGCGAAAGTGGATTAAACAAAATACTGTAAAGAAGGGAAACAATATGCGCATTCCGGCGAAGACGAATCGGGAGCCACTTGAGTTTTGCACGGAAATCGGATACATGATCATATTTGCGTAAACCAAATATGAATCTGATACAGAAGTTTTGTAACCGCTCAAGTTTGTTAAGTTGCTCCTCAGTAAGGTCAAGATAGCTAACGTCTGCGTAATCCAAAATGGGGAGAAGGAGAGCTTGTGCCAGCGCAGTTTTAGTGGCGAGAGGGAGGAAATTGCGCAGTCTTCTTATGGACCCAGCCGCAGCAAACATCTTACGGCTCACTTCCTTGCATGAAAACAGTCTTATAAATCACAAACTAGTTTATTTCGTTTTTAGAAATGAAGAAGTCAATGACCGATTTAAAACTTTTCCTTAGTACGTCCCAAAAACAGCTGACTCAGGGTTGAAAACACTCATTCTTTCTCATAAACTTTGTAATATAATTTTTTTTACATCATATTAAAGACAAATAGTACTCTCCAGGAACCTTGGGAGTGTCGGTCGTTCTGTTCCACCGAGTATATTTACTGTAAAAAAATTGTCTACGGTGACGCGACGTACCGCGATGAACAGACCAGCCCCCTTTTTCTGTAACTCTAGTAACTTCTTAGGACGACCGCAATAAATTGTTTTCAGACCTCTATGGGTAGCCCGTTATCGAGCAGTTTTTGTATTCTGAAACTCATATTTCACTATCTCTAATCCCTAGCCAGTCGCTACATATATACATTTTTAAAATTGAAATGACATCTTATTGAAGTTTAATTTCGTGGTCTCTAATACTCACGGAATACAAGATAACATTTTAACGATACAGGATCAAGCGTTAAAATGGAATTCAGTGGTAATAGCCATAATCGATATTTCAAAATTGAGAATCATTGATAGAACGACATGATTTTGACACATTGGAGTAGCTCACTTTTTACGGTGATTACGACTTTACTTTGTCAGTTAAGTTGGCGAATAGGACTGTTGAGAATTGATGAATTTCTAATCAACTAGACTCGGCGCTCCTTTAGTCGACGTCAGGTTTTTTTTTTGTTTTGTAGGCATTAGCAACATCAGCACTGAACGTGCAACCATCAGGTTGCTTTATGGGTTACTGTGATTTTGTACGCTGCTTAAGAAGAACCAACTCCAATAATTTGGTATATATTTACTATTACAATAAAAAATAATATGATTCTTTTGCAGTTTTGGATGATTTTGTAGTTTACTTACTTTGTCTTTGTGCTTCTGATTATTAGTTTAGTTTTAACAGTTCTTACGTAACCTAAACCTAGCTATTTGTGTTCAATTGTTCTACTATAAGTAAATTTTTAATCTATGAAAAACGATCCAAGCAATTTGTCCCAAAGATTGCGAGGATGGCTGTACTTCACTATATTGATTAATTTATAATATTTTGGTATTTTATTTTAGATAATTCAATGTACGAGAGAAGCACGCACCGGTGTTAACATAACGCTTGATGCTGACAATGTTAAGTTTTTTACAAATGTTACTTCATGTGTATTGGCGCGCACAAGATGTAGTACTTTTAATCCTATCACAGGTGAACCCCAAATACCTGGAAGTTCAACACCTGGATCCAAGATAAGTAATGCTCTTCAGTTTTCTGATACTGGGGAGTTGAGAATTTTGGCATTTCCAGCAAATACACATGTTATGAATGCATTTTGTGCTGTTTCGGCTAATTTGACACAAACTAGTTGGTTGACAAATGTATGTTGATAAATGTGATACTAACGTAAAAATAAAATCATTTTTTCCGTACCAACTTTCTCTTTCTCACCTACCATTATCCTGCTATTAGTAAAATCCTGGAAATATAATAATCTTGTAATGATTTCTTGATAAAATTAAAACATCTAAAGTGTACCTTACCCTATTAGGGTTCAATTTTTATATGAAATGGTGAAAATGTTACGAACAGGACAACACTGACAGGGGGATTCTAGACAACAAGATAAATAATTGTATTGTTAGAGTTACCATGGATGAAATAACTTTGCTTCAAGCAAATTCTACAACAACAACAAACTGTTAATTTTTTTGTTCATTGTATAAGTATTATACAGCTTTTAGATAGCAATACAACAATACAACACTGCCTATAGTAAGAGATCACCCGAGTCGTCAAAATAATTAATTACATTTGTGATTTTTCAACAAATATATACAGTGTATTCATTCAAGAAGTTTGCAGTCCGAGATTGTTCTGCTGTACTGTTATCCAGAGAATTCGTTACCGATTACACCAGAAAACAATAAGTACAATATTTGTTTTTTTTTTACTATTTTTTATACCCACATTGATGTGACATCGCAAGACTGTCTGCAATATTCTAAGTTTACCCTCAAAGTGTAACACTAAAGTTGGCTGGCAGTATTCTAGGGTTGCCACTCTTAAATGTTTTCCTGATTTTGGGGCGAAAGACAAGAAAAAAGATACTACTGGATACTTCACGTTTCCTATTACGCTAGCTAATATAATGTGCTCGCGCTGATCAAGCAGCCTTCAACTAACCAGTTATTGCTCTGGTGCGGTTGTATTTTGTGCCGGTTTTGCTGTGTTAACTGCAACTTCGCTTGGTCTTGCTTTTTGCTATTGTCAACATGAAATACGCATGCTGTAAATCCACTGCCGATGGTACCTCTGGATCACTGTCATGCACCACGTGCAAATTGAATTATCATGTGGCGTGTCTATATAGTTCAGATAAGAGAAGGATCTTCAGTGCTGAACAAAGGCGGTCTTGGCTTTGCCCTGGATGTTCATTAAGTCAACCAAGAACATTAATTAATGACAATACTCCTGTTAAAACAGGCGCAGAAAATGTAAACGTTCGTTGAGGCGCATCATGTATTGATTCTCCTACTCAACATGTTTCTTATGAGGCAGATCCTACAATATTGGAGACTGTCAAAAGCATGATAGCCTCAGAAATGTCGGTCATGAGGGCTGAATTACGTTCGGCTATTGCTGAGGCAATTTCTAGGGAGGTCAAACCAATTATTGAGGAGATCGCCTCGATTAGGGAATCCATGAGTTTTATAAATGACCAACATGAAATCATTATGAAGAAAGTGAACGAACTTGAAAAGGATAGCAAGTCGTATTCAAATTTGAAATCGGAAATTGAAAATATTAGAAAATCAATGGCTGTCACTGAGGCGGACATCAACAAACAGGAACAGTGGGCTCGTCGTCTAAATGTGGAAATTTTTGGTATCTCAGAAAGAAAAGGAGAAGATTTAATGCAAATTTTAAGGGATATTTGCAATAAAGCAAAACTTCCGCTTGATCCCTCAAAAGATATTGACTTTGTTACACGTGTGAAGCCTAAAATTAAACCAGTTGTCGTCCTTTTCTTGTCACGCTGGAAAAAGGATGATTTTCTATCAACTTTGAAAAAACTAAGGCTTAAAAGTTCTGATATAAATATACAAGGTGACTCATTTATTCATTTCAATGATCACTTAACTAGTGCTAATAAGTCTTTATTGCAGCGTGTCAAGTCACTATGTAAGGAAAAAGTCTACAAGTACTTATGGATTAAGAATTGTGCGATAAAAGTGCGCCGCTCGGATACATCACTAGTTATACACATTTCCAGTGAATCTGATTTAAATAAAATCAGATAAGATGTCCTTAAAAAAAAAATCTTGTGTTTGCTTTGGACTGTGACTTATTCAGGCTATATTGTTGGGACGTTTTTCTCTATAGTGTTAACTTTTTCGTGTATTCATATAGTACGGAGGATATGCTTTTCACCCTGTTTGGGGGCTTTTTGTTGAGTTTTTCAATCATTGCTTTTTAATAGTGAGCTTATTGAGTTATTGTATTATTATATCTAAGATATAGATGGATGTACAAAGTTTGCATGTATGTTATCAGAATGTCCGAGGTTTGAGGACAAAAACGAATAGTCTTCCGTAAAGTATTGCAGGTCGATTATGACATTATTTGTTTGAGTGAGACATGTCTTTTACCCGGAATTTATGACTTGGAAATATTTGATTCACGTTATAGAGTTTATAGATGTGATCGTGACTATAAAAGTCGAGGAGACAGTATGGGTGGTGGTGTGCTTATAGCTGTGCGACGCGAGCTGCTAGTGCGATCATATGACGTAAAATCTATGCCAGATGCTGCAGCCGAGGTTATTGAAGTGACAATAGAACTGAGGTATGCATCTAAGCCTGTACATCTTCATATTTTTCGTGTTTATTTCCCACATTGCTCTCGGCATTTGGATAGTTTGACTCAGATGTTTGAAATAGTATCTGATAGTATAATTATCAATACACGCGACGTTTATTTAATATTAGGAGATTTTAATATCTCTTCTGCTCAGTGGACTCAGTAGGGGTATCGAAGAAGCTGTTGCTAAATTTTATAAATTAATTAATGATATTGTATCTCAGAACGTTCCTATTAAGATACTACGACGCTATGCTAGATATCCAATTTGGTTTTCTAGTCCCCTTGTTAAAATCATAAAGGAGAAATTGTGGAAAATGTATGGTCGGAAATGTGACTATGACACCTTTAACCTATTGCGTGATCGACAAAAGTGGGTGCAACGTGAATGCTATGATAAATTTATTGCGAATTCTGAGGAAAAAATAAAAATTGATAGTAAATATTTTTGGACATTTATAAAGTCGAAAAGGTCTTCATCTGGTTTACCGGATAGAATGTTTTTTGACGAAGCTGCCTCAAATGACGGTGAAACTATATGTAATTTATTTAACGGTTACTTTCAATCTGTTTTTGACCCAATTGTATCACTTTGTCCAAATTCATCGCAATCTTTAGTTAAGAATAATTTAACTGTCATTAGCACAGTAATTGTTACTAGCGACCAGGTAAAGAAATATTTAAAATCACTTGACGTATCCAAAGGATGTGGGCCTGATGGTATTGCACCCTTATTTTTGAGGATGTGCCGTGATACCCTTGTTGCTCCCTTGGCTTTACTCTTTAATGTGTCTGTGGCGACTGATACATAGCGACATCTAATTCATCGCAGTAACATCGCCACAACAATCGATAGCGAGAAGACTAGCATCGTCACAGCCATCGATAGCACTGTGGCGACTGATACATAGCGACATCTAATTCATCGCAGTAACATCGCCACAACAATCGATAGCGAGAAGACTAGCATCGTCACAGCCATCGATAGCAAGACGAACTGCAATAAGTTTCAATAGCAAGTAACGAGATGGCGCTGTACCAATACAAGCAGCATAAATTAATAACTACAAGACATTTAGAACAAAGAAACCTACATCACACAGAATAAGTTTAATTACCAATTAACATAAATAGAACGTCCAACCTACATCGGTTGGACCGCGGTCCCCGGGCTAACAACACCTAGCTCGGAGGGAGACAATTATCCTTTAGTCTCCCTGACCAGTTGTCTCCATCACCACAGTAGAGACTCCAACCTCCAACCTTACGGTCCTAAAGTGGTGACCCCAGAAGAACATCAGCAACCTTCAGCATCACAATGCAGCCATCACTCTTCATCAACAGCCTCTCACCCTTCATCATCAGCTTCTCATCCCTCATCAGCACAGCCAATTCAGCAGCAAGCCAGCCAACACCAAGGTCCATCACAGCAGCATCAACGGCGCTTCCTGGATTCTTGGCACCACTCGACGGCATCATCCCGACCTGGTCCACGCAGCCCACGACCGGATCTCAGTTCACACACAACTCACCGGCGTGGCAGCCCTGCACACCAGCAGCTTCGGTCCCGACGTCACAACCTGACACTTGCAAGCTCTGAAGCACTGACTGCATACCACCTACTATCAACATGGATCGACCTTCGGTCTAGGGGGAAAGTACTGTGGCGACTGATACATAGCGACATCTAATTCATCGCAGTAACATCGCCACAACAATCGATAGCGAGAAGACTAGCATCGTCACAGCCATCGATAGCAAGACGAACTGCAATAAGTTTCAATAGCAAGTAACGAGATGGCGCTGTACCAATACAAGCAGCATAAATTAATAACTACAAGACATTTAGAACAAAGAAACCTACATCACACAGAATAAGTTTAATTACCAATTAACATAAATAGAACGTCCAACCTACATCGGTTGGACCGCGGTCCCCGGGCTAACAACACCTAGCTCGGAGGGAGACAATTATCCTTTAGTCTCCCTGACCAGTTGTCTCCATCACTACAGTAGGGACCACACCTTCAATCATACGGTTCCTAAATGTCTTTGAAAGGGGGTGAAATGCCTAAAGTGTGGAAGAAGTGCCACGTAGTTCCTGTACATAAGGCTGGTGACAAGCACAATATTAGAAACTATAGACCGATAACTAAAATTAGTACCATTCCTAGGTTATTCAAAAAGATTCTTTACGACATTATTTTTCCACTGCTGCGTCCTAAAATTATTGAGCAGCAACACGGCTTCATTAGCGGGAAGTCTACTGAGACTAATCTCTGTGAACTCGTTCGCCGCGTAGCAGTCGCTATGGATCAGGGCAACCAGGTTGATGTTGTGTATACTGATTACTCTAAAACATTTGACAAAATTTTCCACTCAATACTTCTTAGGAAAATTGGTGAAATCGGTATACACGGTGACCTGCGGTGGTTTGAGTCATATCTGAGAAAACGAAGCCAGGCCGTTACCATTAAAGGTTTTTGCTCAACCTTTGTGCCCTTAACATCAGGAGTGTGTGTGGTGAAAGATTTGGGGGATAATTTAGATGACAAATTAATATTTAATGCACATATTGAACACAAAACTTCGAAAGCGTATCAAATGCTTGGCTTTGTCTTAAGGACTGGACGGGACTTTAAATACAACTCCACTCTAATGTTATTGTTTAATTCATATGTACGATCTGTTTTGGACTATCGACGGTATGGAATCCACCACAGAACACGGAAAAGAGGTTAGAAAGGCGATCATGTATCCTTTGTACGAAAACCGATGTAGCCAGTCTTGCCCCACTTTTAGTCCGCCGTACATCAGACGAATAATCAGACCAATTATACAAAAGATATGCACACACTTGCATTTTAAACATGCCGATCAGAACGCTCCAATATAACTATAACCAATCACGCTCAACCATAACAGACATCTATAGTGCGCAATAAACGTGTAAAAGCCATTTTAATTTGACATATCACACTAGTGATTGACATAAAGTTATTTACTATTGATATTGAAAAACAACAGGTCGATTAATTGAAAATGATTTCTTTATATTATTTTGGATATACATTAAATTGTATTGATTAAATGAGACATTATATTTTTTCTTTAGATATAAATTCTTAATTAGTTGGTTGATACAATAAGAAATATTTAAATTACTAATGAACTAACATTGAATCGGTACTAGTCGAGCTTAAATATTTATATGCATATAAATATGTTTGTTTATTAATAATAATAGTAGGTATTTTTTTTACGTTACTTTACTCAATTTCGTATCAAGTAAACAGATAAGATCGGCAACATCGCTTAAATGAAACTAGTAATATTGACAAACAATATAATATAAATATACTCGGTGGAACAGAACGACCGACACTCCCGAGGTTCCTGGAGAGTACTATTTGTCTTTAATATGATGTAAAAAAAAATTATAGGTCTAGGTCAAATAGTTTCGGAGATATTAAATCACAAAGTTTTTGAAAAAGAATGAGTGTTTTGAAAAAAGTAGAAAATTTCTACTGCTTATTCTCAATAACCTAAGTTTTTTAATTTCACAAGTCGAATAGTCCTAGTTTTATCAAACTGCTATCAACTGATCATCAAAAAACTAAAATCGGAAACGAAAACTAAGTGATTGTTG